CCTATGCCAGGGGGAAGAAAATAGTTCCACTCGAGGCGGAAGGACACATGCATCACCATTCCCACGCACAGTGGTAGGCCTGGAAATAGTCCCAGGCCGGGCGGAGGGATACGAGCCACCAAGCCGCTTTTATGAATGACTCTGCCAGGCCCTTGAAATAGTCCCGGTCAGGGCGGAGGGATATGAGCACCCCCTCCCCTGGGGCCCCTATACTCCTAGCAAGGACAAGGTGTGTGCACACGTGCGGGCACAACCAGCCACGCGGGCACGTGGCGTGCCTGCCCGTGTGCCTGTGCCCACACATCGGGACACGGGCACACACGCACAGGTCCACCCACATGGGCTTGCACGTTTGCACACATGGACACAGGCCCAGGGCTGAGCAAGGTGCAGGGGGGGACTCACCTGGGCACGTGGCGCAGCAGTGGCCAGGCAGGGTCTGGGGGTGCGGGCAGGGCGCAGGGGGGCACAGGGAGGGTAAGCACTGCACCGAGCCGGCCTGGGGGGCAGGGCAGAGGGAGTCAGTGCTGCAGCCTGCAGAGAGACCCCCTCCCAGCTGGCTCTGCCCATGCCTCAGTTTCCCCTCCGGGCATTAGATATTGGGGCACCCCCCCAGCAGGGCGCACAGACCCCCCCGGGCCCCACCACCACCACCACTCACGGAGCAGGTGCAGTGCAGGCAGCGCCCGGCACCCTGGGCGATGAACCTCTCCCCATCCTGGTACACGCTGCCCTCGAACTCACAGCCTGGGGGGAGGGGCATCACAGGGTGAGCCTGGCCCAGCCCCCACCCCTGCCCCAGGGCACCCCCAACAATCTGGGGTCACCCCCAGGGCCCTCTCCACATGCCAGGGGTTCAGCCTGGGGGTGCCAGGGTAGGCTCGGGACCCTCAGCTCTCACTGTGCCCCCCTAAAGGGGTCTCTGTGCCCCCCCCTCAGGTCCTGGGCTCACCGTGGCATGTTGGGCAGCACTGGGCAGGGGTGTGGGCAGGGTGGCTGCAGGGCGCGGGCGGGCAGCTGGGCTCCAGGCGCTGGCACGACACCTCCCCGGCCTGCGGGCACCACCTGGGGTCAGCTGGGGACCTCCGTGGGCCCCCAGCCCTGAGCCTGGGGGACTGTGGGTCGGGAGTGAGGGGGCACCCTGCACACTGCCCCCCCAAGCCCCATTCCCTCCTGGGGGGCAGCTCAGGGCAAGGTGCAAAGGCTTCTGGGATACCAGTGGGAGATTCTGGAGCCCCTCCAGCACCAGGCACCCCCTGGAGGGCCAAGGGGGGCATTGCCAGGCTCCCCCCTCCCCAGTGCAAAGGCTTCTGGGATGCTGGAGGGCCCAAGAGCAGGCTGCCCCCTAGCGGCCAGATGGAGGTATTGCAGGTGCACACCCAGGTGCAAAGGCTTCTGGGATGCCAGTGGGGCCCCTGGGAGGCCAGGAGGGGCCGTGTGGCGTTCTCCCCACCCCCCACAACACTCACGGTGCAGACACACTGGGTGCAGGGCTCAGCGCTGGGCACTGGCTCCCCGCTGGCATAGTCGCGGCCCTCAAAGGAGCATCCTGTGGGGAGGGGGCAGCAGGCAGCATGGTGAGGGCCCCCCAGGGCAGAGCCGGCCCCTGCCACGCTGGGGCAGCACGCCACACACTAGGGAGTGATGAGCGTGCAAGGTCTCAGCCTGGCAGAGGCCCCCCAGGACTCACCATCGCAGACGGGGCAGCAGGTGCCGGGGCGAGGGCTGGCGGGGTGCGGGCACAGGCGGGCACACTGCCTCTGCACACACAACACACGACCCTCCTGCGGTGGGGGGGGCAGGAATTAGTACTGCCCTCCAGATCTGTGCC